GCGGCGGGGCCGTGGCCGGAGCTGGAGGCGGCGGCGCGGGAGCGGCGGCGGGAGCTGTCGCTGGCGGGCGCGGCGGTGGCCGAGCGGGTGGCGGCGGGCGGCGGGCGGCTGCCGGAGGCGCTGCTGGCGCTGCCGCTGCTGCAGTCGCTGGAGCTGAGCGGCTGCGCGGCGCTGCGGGAGCTCGGCCCGGGCGTGGCGGCCGCGCTGCCCGCGCTGCACACGCTGGTGCTGAGCCGCAACGCGCTGGGCCCGGCCGGGCTGGGCGAGGGGCTGGGCGGGCCCCTGCCCGCGCTCCGCCTGCTCGACCTGTCCGGGAACGGGCTGGAGGCGCTGCCCGCCGCGCTCGGCGGCACCGGGAGTGGCGGCGCGGGGGACGCGGCCGCGGCCTTCCCGCAGCTGCGCAGCCTCAACCTGAGCTCCAACCGGCTGCGGGAGCTGGGCCCGGGGCTCGCCCGCGCCGCGCCGCAGCTGCAGGAGCTGCTGCTGGCCGGGAACCGGCTGCGGGCGCTGCCCGGCGGGCTCCTGCCCCCCGACGGGCCGCCCGCGCCCTTCCCGCTGCTCAGCCGGCTGGACGCGGCCGACAACGAGGTGGCCGAGCTGGGCGCGGACATCGCGGCGCTGCCGGCGCTCAAGGTGCGAGCCGGCCCCGCTGCCCGGCCGGTCCCCGCGGTGTCCCGGTGGCGCGGCCCTGACCGCCCCGTCTGTGTCCCCGCAGAGCCTGGACGTGGCCAACAACCAGCTGCGGGAGCTGCCCGCCGCGCTGGCCGACTGCCCCCGCCTGAAGGAGGCCAACTTCAGGGGCAACCAGCTGAGGGACAAGCGGCTGGAGAAGATGGTCAATGGGTGCCAGACGAAGGCCATTCTGGAGTACCTGCGGGCCGGGGGCCGTGCGAAGGGGAAGGCCGAGAGCGCCAGAGAGGACGTCAGGAAGAAGAAGAGGGAGAAACAGAAGAAGGACAGTGGGGATGGGGAGCAGGATGAGGTGGAAGAGGCGAGCAAGCTGCTGGTGAAGGTTCTGCACGTCTCTGAGAACCCAGCGCCTTTGGTGGTCAAAGTGAGCCCGGGTGTCAAAGATGTGCGAGCCTTCATCGTGTGCTGTGTGCTGAAAGGAGTGAACTTAAAGCCGGGAAATGCTCTCAAGAGATTCCTGACCGTGCAGGTAACAGCTGCAGCCTCGTGGTACTCATTTGGAGTGGGAATATTACTGGCAGAGTTGGAAATAGCCTATTCTAGGCCCCTTCCAGCAGATGGGTTTGGGAAACTTAAGGTGAGCTCCTCACCCAGCAGGTGTGAGGGTATAGAGTGAGTGGTCCTTGCCAGCAGCACATGCCTAGTCCGTCTGAAATCAGCAGAACTGGTTTTTGGGAAGGACCCATCAGAGCTCAAGTATTGCCATGAGGGCAATGGACGCACTCACATTTGTGTTGTGACTGTAACAGCAGCTTGTTAGTGCTGTGGAACCTGTTAAAAGCTAAAAATAGCCCCGTGTCCGTGTGTAGAGATCCCCTGGATTGGCTCCAGCTTCCCTGATCTGTTAAAAGCATGTTACACATTCAGCTTTCTGACCTGCCCTGGGCCTGCTGCTTACCTGTCCCTGACGTGGCAGGTGGGAGCTGCTTTCAGGTTACAAGGCTTGAGTATTTGAGATTGCTCTCTGACTTAACATTTGTTTTCCCTGTAGAGAAACATGTTGTCAGGCTTTGCCACCTTTGTAATGGAGATACAGGTGAAGGGACGGCTCTGTTTTAGTCACCTGGCTGGTAGTGCTGCATTAAATATAGAAGAATCTGCACGTAGGAGGGATAAATCACATTGACTTTGTGATCTATTTTGATGGCATCCTTTGTGTTTCAGACCAAGCTGCATGAGGACATCTGTGAGAAGCGCACAGTGGCCACCATCGCCACCCACGACTTGCAGCTGGTCAAAGCTCCTCTGACATACGATGTTCAGCCTCCTGATGAGCTCAAGGTAGCACTTAAGGGTGCTTTCTTACCCCATAAAGCTTAGAAAACAAACTCTAGGAACCTTACTTTAGATGTTGCACTGATTTCCTTGCTGTCCTGCTGTACCAGGTGCCTGGTTTAGTACTAGTGACTGGGCCTGTTTTTCAAGTGGGCGTTACAGCAGTCCATGTGAAATGGAAAGTATTTCCATGCTGAAAAAGGCATGACAACGTGCAGAAATATTGTTTAATTATTGACTTGCTTACAGGGAAGTGTTGTAACCCTGGTGTTTGAGTGCAATTGAATAAAAATGTTTTGTTTTCCTGTGTGGTGCAGATCATGCCCTTGGGTCGGAAGGAGATCAAGGCAAAGGATCTTCTCCGCCAGCTGCAGCTGGAGGCTGAGGAGCAGCGGAAGCAGAAGAAGCGTCAGAACGTCTCTGGGCTGCACAAGTCAGTACCTTGTTGTGGTTTTCTCACGTCCATTTAGGTGACTACACTGAGGATGTGACAGATCTGTTTAGAACAGCAGATAGAAGGCAAGAGTGAGGATTGAAGGGTGTGTGGTGCACATGCTGTGAGCTAGGGGAATCAGGGATGAGGTAAACTTGACATAATACAGCAGATGGGCTGTAAAGCAGTGTGTGGGCCTGCCCTGTGCTGTTCACTGCTCGTGCAGAGATCACACACTAATTCCTTTTTGTCACTATTTCCTGCCGTTGTGTCCAGCTGCTCTCTCAGTCGCTCACTTCTTGCTGCTTTGTTCTCGTGGCAGGTACCTGCAGCTGCTGGATGGCAAAGACAACTACCCATGCCTGGTGGATGCTGAAGGAGCTGTGATTTCCTTCCCGCCAATAACCAACAGCGAGAAAACAAAGGTACACCCCATTCATGGGAATACATTAATTATTAAGCAGTGTTTCTTTCTATTGAGAGATGTTTAACTCAAAGACATACACAGTTCTGTAAAACTTGTGCTTGTAGTCCAGTTTATATGGGCTCCACTGTCAGACTGAGAGGGATCTGGGAGTTAGTTTTACCTCTGTAAATCTGTTCCAAAGCAGCAGCCTGCTTATGCAAAGGCTTTCTCAAAGGGAAGTAATATGGTTTTTGATTTGTAAAGAACAGCAGAGCTTTGCCCCTGATTAAACTGAGGGAAAGCCTTCAGCTCTGTGTGCTGGGATGTGTCCAGGGGGCTGTGGGTAAGCTGCTCTGACTCCTGACTTGCTTCATCTCTGAAACCCTTACAGATTAGAAAAGAGACCCGGGACCTGTTTCTGGAAGTGACTAGTGACACCAGTTTACAGATCTGCAAAGATGTGATGGACACCCTTATCCTGGTAGGGAGTTCCGGAAAAAATTCTTCTGTTCTTGGGAGGGGCTCCTACCAAACGTGTCATTGCTCACATGCATTGAGAAGAACACAGAAGCTGATTTGTATTTTAGTACTATTGCTACTCCCTGTCTTCGTTCTCTGCTACAGAATTGATGTTATTCTCTGTATTTTGCTTTTAACAGAAAATTGCAGAGCTGAACAGATCTGCCTTGGAGAACAAGGAAGGCTCTGGTTCAGATATGGAACTGGATGCTCTCTGTGGACCAGGGAATTTGAACCTGCCCTTGGTGGTGGAGCAGGTGCGAGTGGTGGACACGGATGGGAACTTGAAAGTACTTTATCCTTCAAAAACGGACCTGGCCACAGTTTCCTCTCTGCTGACTGTGATCCGTTAGCAGCTGCCTGAGCTGAGAGAGGATTCCCTTTCCTTTCGTTTGTTTTTTTTTTCTGTATATTCAACAACACAACTGGTGCACAGTGAGATGGTTTGGGCTTTTAAAGAAAAGATGTGGAGCATCCTCCAGGGAAGGCAGTGGCTTCAGAGTTTGATGAGCTACAGCAAGGAGAATTGGGATCTTTCACCCTTGATAGAGATCATCAATGTTAGGCCTGTGCAAAAGAGCAGCATCTTCAAACATGGACTGAAGGCAGAACGCAGCAGAGAAAATCATTATGATGTTTAAAACAAGAACAGTCACATTTTTCTGCAAGATCACTTTTTCCTCCTGGTGTTTCATCTGGATCATTATTATGGCAGCAGAGAAATGCAGCAACTGACAGTGTGGAACTGAGGTCCTCTGCTGGGTACAACCTGGAGTCAGAATGCCAGAGCGCTTTGCTGACATCTTGTTCTGCAGAATTTTATCTGGAGTAACTGTGAACATTTAGTTGCTGTCAGAAGCATTTAATTGCTGTCAGAACTTGAGGCATGTGTTTTAAAGTGACGGTTTCTGTGTTCAGGCATGAGCACAGCTTCCGTTTTTAAGGGATTTGTTGAGTCAGCTGCAGGGTTTGTGTGTCCCATTGTGTTTCAGGGCCATCCTCCATCCCTGTGGGAATTGTGGTGACATTGTGTGTGCCCACAGAAGAGTTACTGTGGTTGAGCACTGGCTTTGTTCTTGCTGAGGAGGTCCAGGTCCATTCAGAGCTGCCTCCAGCTGACACTGAACTCCCTGTCCCCCCAGAGTACAAGCACTGATGCCCAGAGTGACCCTCCTGGAGCTTTCTGCTCCAGGTCCCACCCACATATTTTTACCTTCCAAAATACAGACAGCTGGAGCAGATCTTGTTTGGCAGTCTATGGGTGACCTATATGTGTGGGTGAGCACTGGTGTGAACTCACACCTCTCCCTAAGTCAGGGTGACCCCTAGATTTACTCTCTTCTGGTAAAAATGATATCTCAGAGCTCTGACTGAACTGCTGCTATGTCAGATATATCCCCATGTTGGGACTTGCACATGGAATGGAAAAATAAAACAGCTTTTGCAGCCCTGGCACTGTCCCTCATTTTGGCATTGGGGGATGTTCAGTCATGTCACTCAGAAACTTCCCAAGGCAAAAATGGGAATTATACACTTCCTAGCTGCTTGTATGGAAGCCATCCTTGTGCTTCAGGCTTCTCTGGGAAGTCAAGTGTTACTACACACCAAGGACTTCCAGTGGCTTGTGCTCTGAGTTGGCTGAAACAACGGAATCAGATAGTCCCACAGAACTTGGTGACAGTAAAATGAGTTTAATTTCTTGTAAGGCACCAGCTCCGAGCTGAGAGCCTGAGGCTGGTGATGGGTTCTGGCTCAGCCTTCAGAGCTTTTCCATCCTGGAGGATTTCCTTCTCCTTGATATTGTTGCTGTGCTGCTGTCGCTGCTGAACAGGGATGTCTTGCTGCCCTTGTTCTTCAGCTTCTGCTGGTACTCCGTCCGCTCGTTAATGATTTTCTGAAAATCAGCGATATGTGAAGGGGTGGGGAGGCTGGGAGCAGCACTGCAAAGTGTTCTCTTACCTCAGCAGTCCCTTCCTGGCTGCTGGAAGCTGTCTGGAAGAGCCACATACCTGCATTGCCTCCAGCACCTCATCGTCCGTGAGCTCGGCCTGGGGGTCCTGGATGCCCTCCACGCAGAACGTAGCCTGGATTATTTTGTTTCGAAACCTTTCAAACTTTGGATAAAAGAGGAGAGCAGGTGTGTTCAGTTTTATGTGCAATTCCTTGGCATTTGCATGGATTTACAGAGACTGTGCTGTCAGGCTTGGGGAAAGGACTGGTGAATGATGATGTGGAGAGTGTTTATGTGAAAGGACAGGCAGTTTGGGCTTCACTGGAAGTGCTGTGGTACATATGTGGGTCTAGGTGGGCTCTTCCCCCGGCACCAGGCACATCTGCCTGCAGGAGATGCCTTTAGGTTGGTTCTTGTTACCTTGGGTCTGGAAGGATGTTAGAAATCTGGTGATGTAACTGATCTGAACTCGACGTTTCTCAAGGGTTTCTGGTATTTGAGGTCTGTTTTCTTTATAAGTGGCACAAGAGCTGCCTGCTCCACAGCTAGGGAGCAAATGGATTGAGATTCCCAAGAGGGAGACAGGGCTCTGAGGTGAAAGAGGCCATGCTTACCTTGCTGCTGATGATCTCCAGTGCCACTCTGGTTTGCAGCTCTGTGTGCTGCAGTGCCTCAACCTGGCCCTGGATCTCCTTCTGGGCCTGTTTCTGCTCCAGGAGGTGGAGGCGGGTGGTCACAGCCTCAGCCTGCAGCCGGCTGATTGTCCCCTGTAACTCACTGATGAGCTTGTTCTGCTCAGCCAGCTGGGATTCCTGTTCTGTAACAACCTGAGCAGACACAGAAATCCAGCTGTCACTGGGGAGAAGAGAGTGAGCAAGTTTGACCTCATTTTCTGACTATTTGGTCTAAATGCTTCCTGGGCAGAATCTAGGGACTAACAACCTCACCAGTACTGGTAGCTGTTATTATTTGGTGTTTTCTCTAAAACACCAACTTGGATTGAGTAGGGGTTTTATATGCCAAACTCCACCAGCCCTAAAACCAGCCCAGTGAAGCAGCAAACACCAGATTTTTCATAGAATTTCAACGAATTCACCTGTTGAAGGTTGTGGTTCTTCTCCTCCATCATCACCACCGCTTCTTCCTGCCTCTGTTCTTCTGTCAGGCTGCAAAACTGGAAGGAGAATATTTTACACTTCAGTTTGACAGCTACATGTGTCCCTCCTGCCTATGAGAGAGGGACATGTAGCAAAAATCCTAAATTCCCAGCTGCTGTGTCTTCTGCTAGCCATGGCCACCATGCTCTTGGGCTGTACCTTGTCAGACACAGCTTGGAGCTGGACTTCTCGCTCTTTCAGCTGCTTCTGGAGCAATTCCTTTTCAGATCTGATTCTCCGAATCTCAGATTCTTGGATCTCCATCTGTCTTTGCAAGGAAGTGATGGCACCTGTAAAGTGGGAGAGTACTTTCAGCAAAGCAAATCCCCACTGAACACTCTGTGGCTGCTTTTTTCACATGAGCATAAGCAAAGCCACTGTGGGAACGGACTTGGGTCACATTAATGCTGCAGCCTCAGTGATTCTGGGTGATAATGTGGTTTGTGGTGCTTTGCTGGGATGTGGGTTTGTACAGCCTTGAGAAGAAAAGGTGGTTTCACTTCAGGGTGATCTAATTGTGGCCTTGCAGTACCACAAGAAGCTGACAAGAGAGAGAATTTATAAGGGCCTGGAGTGACAGGACAAGGGGGAATGGCTTCACATTGATAGAGAGCAGGGTTAGATTGGATATATGGAAAAAATTCTTCCCTGTGAGGGTGGGGAGGCCCTGGCACAGGTTTTCCAGAGAAGCCGTGGCTGCCCCATCCCTGGAAGTGTCCAAGGCCAGGCTGGATGGGGCTTGGAGCACCCCGCGATAGTGGAAGGTGTCCCTGTCATGACAGGGGATGGGACTGGGTGACTTTTAAGTCCCTTCCAACCCAAACCATTCTGTGTATTAAACAGCCCGATTCTGAGGTGGGCTCTGAGGACGCGCAGAGTGAGCACCTCGAGCCCCGCTTGGCCGCTCTGCCCCGCGCTTTCTCTGCTGGGTTTTCTCGTTCTTCACTACCAAGGGGAGAAAGCGTTTTCAAATTCTTTTCAGCCTGTGAGCCACGCCCTGTAATGTTTCCAAGGTGAAAGGAGCCGAATCGAACGAGACCTCGGCAGGTAAAGGCGTGCCCTGGGCACCTCCCGCGGTACCTATGGCCATCTTGTGGTCATCCTTGGCTTTCCGCAGCTCCTGCCGGAGCTGTTCCATGGTTTCGGTGAGCGCTGGTCCCTGCAAGCCGGCGGCTTCCATGGGGCTGCGGCCGCACCGGGGCCTCTCCCGGCGCTGCCGGGCAACGGCGTGAGGCGGGCGGGCTTTGGGCTTTCCGCTTCCGAGTCAGCGGGCCGTGGGGCGGAGGGGGAAGGCTCTGCACGACTACGGGGCCGAGCTCTCGGAGCTGTCGGTGCGGCGGAATCGGCGGAGCTGTTGTGCACAGCTGCCCCTCAGGGCGCGCCGCCACCGCATCCTGCAGCGGCTCAGCCCGGGCCGCCACCGCCGCTGCTCCGGCAGCTCGGGCTGCGCGCCCCGGGGCTCCGCTGAGGCACCCGCCGCTGCCCGGGCTCACCCGGCCTTTCCCTGCCTCACCGACCCCTGCCCGGGCTCACCCGACCTTTCCCTGCCTCACCGACCCCTACTCGGGCTCACCCGGCCCTTCCCTGCCTCACCGACCCCTGCCCGGGCTCATCCCGCCCTTTTCTCCCTCACCGACCCCTGCCTGGGCTCATCCTGTCCTTTTCTGCCTCACCGACCCCTGCCCGGGCTCATCCTGCCCTTCCCTGCCTCACCGTCCCCTGCTCGGGCTCATCCCGCCCTTTTCTGCCTCACCGACCCCTGCTGGGGCTCATCCCACCCTTCCCTGCCTCACTGACCCCTGCTCGGGCTCATCCCGCCCTTTTCTGCCTCACCAACCCTTGCTCGGGCTCATCCCACCCTTCCCTGCCTCACTGACCCCTGCTCGGGCTCATCCCGCCCTTCCCTGCCTCACCCGCCCCATCCCAGTCTCACCCGACCCCCGCACAGTGTCCCGATCTGGACCAGTGCTGGTCCCCCTGTGCCGGGCACTGCTGAGGCCCTTTGAGTGCCGTGTCTGGTTCTGTCGCTCACTACAAAAGAGGCTCAGTGTGGGCACAGGAGGGCACGGAGCTGGGCAAGGGGCTGGGGAGTCAGCCCTGCAGTTCCTGTACAAGAAGGTGCGGGACAGCCGGGCGCTGGGCAGGATCCAGCGGATATCAACCATCAGCAGCCTCCATCCTGCAGCCTCTCTGAGCCTGCTGAGAGCCTCAGGTACCCAGCAGCTTCTGCTGAAGAGTCTGGGCTTCACTCAGAGTCGTGGAATGGTTTGGGTGGGAAAGGATATTTAAGCTATCTGTTCCACCCCCTGCCATGAGCAGAGACAACTTAGCCAGACCAGGCTGATCCAAAACCTGTCCTGGAAATGTCTCTGTGTTCTGTGGGAATTCCCCTGAATTTGAATAGCCTTAAGATCCATGGGGAGGAGGGAGGAGCGTTTTTTGAGGAGTGTTTTCTATACCAAACTTCATTTTTGTACATTTTTTTGTCCCTTTAGTTTCTTCACTGTGGGGGCTTTTTATACCCTCCCTGTGCCGTTCAGAAATGTAAATTGGCTGTGGGTTTCAATATGGAGACATTAATGCCCAGTTTTAGTTCTCCCAGGTGGAATTTTTTACAACGCTGCCATGCATGACATAGATATTATCAGTTTGTTGTTGTGAGAGAGTGTGCCAGATACAATATTTTCCCTGGGCCATGCCTTCTGTGCAGGTAAGAATGAGTATTTTGATGGTTTATTGGGTATTTCTGGACTTTACGGTTAAAACTGGGAAGAAAGAACAAGAGCATTATAGCCATGACAATTGTTCTATTATGGAGCAGCTGAGCAAACAGGCTGGTGGAACAGAAGGCAGGTTCCTTGCGGGTATTTGGTGAAAATCTCTAAATTTGATAAATCTCCTGATGTGAAGCACTTGCAGTGGAATTATCATCGAATATGACGCTGCAGGACACCAGGTTTAGAACCAGAGTGCAGAAAATACCGAGCTAAGGCTTGAGCTCACAAGAATGTCAGTGAAATGTTCGTTCTCTGCTTTCTCTGGCCCTTCCCTGTGGATCCCAGCACGAAGCTGTGTGTTTGCTCTGGGTCATGTTGGGCTGATGTGCACACTTTGGGTTACCACACTCATTTAAATGAACTATAAAAGGTGGAAGGTGCAATTTTTTAAATGGAAATTCAGAGTTTTAATTAAGGTAATTGCAGCAGCTGCCAAGCTTGGCTGGCTGGGGTGAGAAGGGGCAGGATGCAATGCTCTCTTCCGTGACACACGTTGAAATGCAGGGGCTCTGACTCTTCCTGTCTGGCTGTCACATGCCAGTTTTCAAGATCTTTTGAAACTTTTTTTTTTTTAGATTTTTATTTAGTTACAACAACATTCTTGACTTCCTCCATTTCAAGGCATTAGTTTATATACTTCTTGCAAGAACATTTAGTTCAATCAATTTCCAATTCCTACCTGTTGAATATATACTCCTAAAACTAGAAATAGTGGTGAAATTTGTATTCTTTTTGGGAATTGTTTTTAACAGTGTAATTTTTCAAGCTCAGAAAAACTGTGAATTAATGCTTATTCTCCATTCCATTCACTATTTTTTAACCATTTATTGAGAAAAAAAGTTTTATGTGTCCAGAAGCTGGTTTTTGCCTCTCTGTACTCGCTGTAGCAGATTAGTACACAATAGTGAGTTTCCTTTTTGTTTCAGTAGCTTCAGACCCTTTGAGGTCCTACAGTCAAAGGTTTACTCTGGGTTAAGAGGGCACTTTCTGTCCAGTTTTCATTTCCAGATGCAAAAATTCTCACATGTGCTTTTATTGTGTTACAAAATAAAAAACCAAAAACAAACCAAAAACCAAAAAAATTCAACAACAAAAAAACAACCCAAAATAAAATAAAAGAGAAACCACGGCTATAAAAATAACACATTTTCCAAAGATAACATTACAAAAAATACAATTCCTACCACGGAGTGATCCATTAATACTGCCGGGAACAGCCCCGGGAACGCTGGAAATGTGAGTGGTTGTTGCGAAAGCTTTAAAGCATTAAAGTGCTTTACTGAGCCATTTCCTGGGGACACAGATTCACTGTCAGCCATGCCGGGGGAGTTCCCAACCCCAAAGGTTCCCAGTCCCTGTGGTGTGAGAGGTGGGATGGCCTCAGGAATGGTGACTGCAGCTCACCCGAGGGAGAGGAGGGACAAGAGGCAACCTCTGTGTGCTGAAGGCTCAGAGCTGCTGTGGGACACCCACCAGGGCCTTGGAGGAGCATCCCGGGCCCAGGGCTGTGGGTGCAGCACATCCAGAGGTCACACTCCTGTCCCCCTTGGACAGGGAGCAGCCACTGCCTGCCTGGAGGAGCAGTCACATCTCATGTGAAGCCTGGTGGGACTCGAGCTCTTCTTCTGCTCTTGCTTAGGGGCTCCAGGGCTTTAGGAAGGGTATCCAGTTCCTCCCCCAGCCTGGGGGTGATGGGAAGCAGGTGAAGGGCTGCCTTTGGAGGCTTCCAGAGGGAGAGTGCAGCAGTGGGAATGTGCTGGGCAGCATCATCTCTGTGCAGCTTCTCTCAGGCTGCCCAAAATCTTGAGTGACCCAGGGCTGAGGGGGCAGAGGCAGAAGCTCCCTGCCCTCCCTCCCACAGCGACAACTTCTGTGACTTCCAGTGCCTTTCCAAGAACTGTTGTGGGACATTGCCTTCCCAAATGTGTAGGGAATGAACATTCAGGGAGGGAACACACCTGTTTGCGTCCTTGCTTTCTGTGAGGGCTTTTTTCCCTGTCTGAATCATCAGAGAAATTTCAGCTGGAGAAAATGATAAGGAACAGAAGACAATTGGGCAGCCAGTCCATGCCATGCTCCAAAAAGATGGATTTACACCATGACATCCCAGCTTGTCAGGTCTGACCTGTCAACAGAACTCCCCAAGGGAGCAGGGAAGGATTATCCAGACCTCTGACTTCCCAGGACAGTAACTCCTTCCTCCACAACTGCATGCAAGAGGTTCAGAGGAGGGAAAAAACTGAGTTTTGAATAGATAAGGCTGGAGACAGGATTCTCTGCATGTTTACATGCTACAACATGGAATTAATTTACTTGACACTGCGGTGTCTCAGGAGTCAGTATCAATTTTTATAGCTTACACGAAAATAAATCTTTCTCCTTACAGCACAATGAGTTTACTGTATGTACATTCTGTTTATATACACCAACCTTTAAGTACAAGAACACATTGGTAATGGACAAACAGGATCTTTCTGGCTCTACAGAGGGCTGAGGGAAGGGGTACGCTTGGCAGTCCATGGAAAAGCAGGACGTGGCTTCACACTAGTCTCTGGCAATGCCTGCACAACTCAGGGCTGAGTCTGTTGCAGTGACAAAGCCCTCTCAGTTTGGGACACCACGGAGAACACGGACGGTGAGCAGGGGTGAGAAAAATGTGCTGTCCTTACACCGCTGGATGCAGGGAAACACAAATTACACAGTGCCTCCTGTGCCACGGGCAGGCAGAAATCCCGCTCTGGCTGCTGAGCTGGCTCGGCTGCCCTCCTCCTTTCCTTCCTCCTACTCCTTACTTCCAGTTTCCTCCCCAGGCAGGCACCTCCTGCCTGGCTCAGGGCCTGCAGTTCCCCTGGATAACAAAATTAAACTTCTCCAGGCGCCCAAGGCCGCAAATACATTTTGAGGATGGGGGGTTTGTCACCCCGCCGGTGTCTCGCTGCCGCCTCTGGAGCCCCTCAGTTGATCTCTCCCTCCGTGAACTCCTCCTTTATGGACTGTTTGCGGGATTTGCAGTCCGGGAGGTCGAAGCCGAAGTCGGCCCAGTCGTCGGCAGCGCCGCGGTTGGGGATGGTGATGGTGTGGCGCACGCGGAAGTGCACGGCCTCCATCACCCGCTGCCGCTGCAGCTCGCCCGAGCTGCCGATGGAGATGGTGGAGGCGTTGCTGCTGGAGCGGATCAGCTGCTGGGCCCCGTAGTCGTGGCTCTGCTTGAGCTCCTGCAGGCCCCGCCAGATGAGCATCCGGTACTGCTCCGGGATCTTCAGTGCTGCGAGGTCCTGCAAGGACAACGCCGCTGAGGCAGGGCTGGCAGGGATGGGGCTCCACCAGCAGGACAGAGCCCCAGGGTGTGCTTTTGGGGGGACACATGGGTGCAATGCCCAACAGAGCAGAGCTGGACCTCCCACCAAGGCCATGGGTGCATCATCCCCTGGGTTATTTCTTGTTCCAACCACAACTTTGCAGGTTGGAGACTTTTTGTTTTGGGAGGGGTTCACATCAAACTGAGGGAAGGAAGGGATCATTCCCCTTGAGCACAGGTTGCAGAGCAGCATGTGGAGCATCCTTGTGGCTGTGCACTTGGGATGGCCTCTGCTCTGCTCCTGGCCCAGGAGGCTGGAGCAGCACCAGCCTGGAGCCCTGAGGTGGGTGACACCAGGAGAGGTGGGTGACCTCAGGCTGGGGATGTGTGCCAGGACACACACAGCACAGCGGGGAGCTGCCAGGGATCCGTGTTAATGCCAACACAGAGATTCACAGGAGCATTAACTGGAGCAGACAGCGAGTATGCAATTAGTAGCTACAAATGCCAACTCAGACACACAGCTCTGCCCTGACACAAGTTTTGGCCATTCCTAAATGCTCCTGTGGACAGCTGACAGGCGGTTATGGAGTTAGTTCAGCAAATGGTCCAAAACCAGGCTCAGGTTACACAACTGGCCCCAGCCACCAGTGACAAATCATCATCTCTCTGCGGGGTGTTGTAGCTGCCAGGTAGAGACACTGCTACACCTGCCTGGGGCAAAATGAGGTCAAAACAGGATCAGGCAGGAGCTCTGTCTCAGTCAAAACACCAAGTCGGGGATTTACAGGGTTTTCCATGGCTCAAAGGACTCAGGATTGGTTTTTGTTTTTATTTTTCTTGTTCCTCTGATGGGCTGGGGAACAGCTCCGGTGTGCCACCCCTGGTACCAGCACCAGAGTGTGGCAGCAGCAGAGGCTGATGCTCTGGGTACACACAGATATTTCCAGCATCCCCTCCATGCTTTTTCTGACAGATTTTGCCTGACCTCGGCTATTTCATTCCAGACTTCAGCCTCTTTCATTCTAAACATTAGCAGGGGAAGAGGTGAGACAAGATTAAGCCTCCCTGAGCTACAGTGTGGTATCCCTGCTGGCTCCCTGAGCACCTCAGCTGTGTTCTCTGTGTTAGGTGGAAAATCTCCCTGAGCTCTGGCCTGGGGATCTTTGATCTCTCTTGTTTCTGAGAGTCCAGAGGAAGCAGTTGAGACTGGTTGTGGGGTTTTGGTACTGGTTGTGATTTTTACCAAGGCCTGAGCAATAGCTACCTCCAAAGGACCATCAACGGGGCAGGAATGACAGATACCAATTCTAGGAACACATTCTGTGTGAGGGGTTGGGGCACAGGTTTCCCTTCCTCCAAAACACTTTTGGTTTTGCTTTTCAGACCAACAGCTGTGGTAAACAAGTGGCAAGAACAGATCTCCCCAAAGCATTTACCTCTATGGATAGGTTCTGCAGGTGGTAAATATTCTGTAACCCTTGTGAGGTGAAATAGTCGATGCAGTTTGGACACCCCAATCCTGTTAAAAAACTGCAGAGAAAGTTTGGAAAATAAAGTGGCATTAAGTTCTCATGAACAAAAGCTGTGTCCCACTCTGTGGGACAGACCATGTCAGGTGGGGGATGTGGAGAGCTCCATGGGTGCCCCACTGGCACTAAGGTCAAAGCACAGTGTGGGGTTGTCTTCATTCCTAAAACTACAGATGTTTTTCTCCTGATTGTCTGAGATCCTGAGATCTCAAAATCCTGAGATTTTGGCTCAGGAACTCATATAATATGAGGGAGCTCAAGCTACTGGGGAAGGAGATCAGGGCATGCCCTGGGCCCTGCCCTGTGCGGATGTTGGCCCAAGGTCTGTCAAAACATTTGTGATCTTTCTCAAGGCCAAAACCTGCAGAGGTTTTAATTAAATTATTTAATTAAAAATTAATTAATTTAATTAGAAACCTGCAGAGCTGTTAATGCATTTCTGATTGGAATAAGCCTCATGGACCCATTTCCAGGTGTTGCTGTAAGGGGAAGGGGGAAGCTCATAAAGCTACACGCCATTGGACAGGTAGGACAAGACTCTCTTTAGGATGTACTTAATTTCTATTTGATCAGGGATGGATTTCCAGGGAGCTGTATGAGGGCAGTGGGGGTTTCTGACCGATTGGTAGCTGGGTTTTGGTTGCTGAGGTGAGAGGAACAGCAGTGATTTCTCAGTTGGGGCCAGTGGCCAGTTGACCAGTTGCCAGACAGATGGGAAGGTTAGAGCGAGGGACACAGCAAGGAACAGAGGACAAGACAGACAGGACACCAGGTGCCTTCCCTACCTGACGAGGCTGGGGTCGGCGTTGTAGGGTGGCGGGGGGGTGCAGTGTGACCCGGACACCATGGACTGGGATGAGTGGCCCCCATTCATTTCTCCATTGGTCTGCATGGGGTGACTGTTCAGCATTCCAGGTCCTGGGCAGTGGCAATAAATGCAGCCATTAGGCACCACCCAGACCTGATAACCCACACTCCTGAGCAGGGAGAGCCCTGTGCTCGGCCTGCTGACAGAGGACGTACCCATGGGGCCCAGGCTGGGTGCAGAACTGGAGCCGTGTTGGGCAGGCTGCCCCACCAGCTGGTTCACAGAGGGCAGCTTGTTGATTCCTCCTCCGTGGACTTTATTCATGGGGGAAAGGACAGGGCCGTAGGAGGAAGCTGTCTGCAGCTGGCTCCTGTTTGGGGAGGGAACACACTGGTCAGACTGGGGTGAGTGGGATGGAGCTGCCCTGCTCTGGCCTGGAGCTCCTTCCCAACCCATCCAGCCTCTCTAGCAAGGGTGCTCAAGGGCTGTAGGGCTCTTGAGGGGATGCAGGGGTCTGGGGGGCTGTAGGGGTATCAGGGGCTGTGGAAATCTCAGGAACTGTGGGGGTCTCAGGAATTGTGGGGGTCTCAGGAATTGTGGGGGTCTCAGCTCTTGAGGAGCTTGAGGGCTCTGGGGGACTGTGGGGGTCTTAGGGACCGTGGAGGCCTCAGTGATGGTGGAGGTCTCAGAACTGTGGGGGTCTCAGGAGGCTGTAGGGGCCTGGAGGACTGGGGGGTTCTCAGGAAGTGTGGAGATCTCTGGGATTTGGGAGGTCACTGGGGCTGGGAGGGTCTCTGGGACTTTGGGGGTCTCATGTGCTTTGATGGTCTCAGGGGCTGTAAGGTTCTCAGGGCCTGTGGGGGTCTCGAGGGCTGTAAGGGTCTCCAGGGCTGTGAGGGTCTTCCAGGGCTGTGAGGGTCTCAGGGGCTGTGGGGGTCTCGGGGGCTGTGGGGGTCTCAGGGCTGTGGGGGTCTCGGGGGCTGGGGCAGGACTCACTGCCTCTGCAGGAGCTGCTGCTGCTGCTGCCGGTAGGAATCCACCAGCTGCTGTGGGACCAGCTCCACCAGCTCCAGGCTCTCCTTTATCTTCATCAGGATCTCAAAGTTCTCCCGGCCTTGCACCTGGAGGAGGGAACAAGACCAGGACTTTGCTTTATTCCTGTCTCACCTGTCCAATTCCAATGCCTCATGCTCCCTTTTTTCCACCTAGACTGACTGTCACTGTGGCCAGGGACTGTTTGGAATGCTGCAATCCCTTGGACATGTGTGTCCATGGATGCTTTTGCTCCTATTCCCAAGATCCTTGCTGTCCTACAGGAGCCTGTGCAGCCCCAAACTGCCTGACATCCCCTCCCCAAGGTGCTTCTGGCAGAGGGGACGATGCCACTGCTATCTCAAGCAGATTTCTGACCCCATTGCAGCTCACCCACACTTACAGGCACGTAGTACATCTCCTCCTCCCCGTGCCTCCGTTTCTTAATGCCAGTGCCCAGCGCTGGGATGCCCTGTGGGCTCTGCTTGAAGGCTGGAGAGAAGAGGGGAAGAGAATAGGTAGAGTCATGGGAGACAGGACATGGCAGGGAGCACCTCAAGCTGTGCAGGATACTAAAACCATTCCCCTGGGGCCTGGCTTGGCAGTGTCCCTTTGTTATTGTCAATAATGAATGAATATATCCGGCCATGAGAGCCATGCACATGCATCTCTGGGCTCTGTGAGGAGAGGGGCAGGGGCTGACTTATGGGATTTAGTGGAGAAAGGCCAAAGCATCATCCCTGAGCGTGGATTTGAGCCCAAACTTCTGGAGGGCAGGGATTTCGGGTGCCCACCCCTGTCAGAGGACTCACTGCGCTTGTTGGCGTTGCCGTTCTTGGCCGTGCTCTCGTTCAGGGCTTGCTGCTCTCGGAAATGATCCTCGTCGGCTTTGCGGTCCCTGCCAGGACAGGCACAGATCCGGCCCTCGAAGGATCTCCTGCCCAGGACCTGGCCGCTGGGAGAACAGCACAATCAGTGCCCTGCTTCCCTTGGGAAGGGCACTGGGGCTCGGTCCGGGCAGAAACCAGCTCAGCGACCCTCAGCGAGCAACAGAGCTCCTGAGCAGCTGGCTCCTGGGGCACAGCAAGGCTCCAGTGCTGGGCTGGGTCCCCAGCCCCTCCGTGCCAGCTGGCACAGGGGAGCATTGCTGTGCCACGAGCTGGGGCTGCCCCATCCCGTCCCCTGGGGATGCTCCCTGCAGGGGAGGGTTCCTTCCCCAGCCCTCCTGCAGCAGGAGGGATGCCCATCCCTGCTCCCGCAGCCACTCACTCTCTCGTCTCCAGGGTGATGATGATGAGGATGGGCCTCCTGTTCATCCCTCCCACGCAGCTGCTGTTGCACATGAAGTTGTACAGGATGGTGGTGAACTCGGTCCCCACCTGCCCGGGAGGGGAGAGCAGGTGCTGAGTGGGGAGTGATGGGGGGAGGCAGGCTGGGATCCCCAGGGAGTGAAGAAGAGGAGGGGAGGCAGGCTGGGATCCCCAGGGAGTGAAGAAGAGGAGGGGAGGCAGGCTGGGATCCCCAGGGAGTGAAGAAGAGGAGGGGAGGCAGGCTGGGATCCCCAGGGAGTGAAGAAGATGAGGGGAGGCAGGCTGGGATCCCCAGGGAGTGAAGAAGAGGAGGGATGGCAGACTGGGATCCCCAGGGAATGAAGAATCAGGGCTGGACCCTCTGGCACAGGGCTGGTGCTTTGGCAGGATGAGCAGGGGAATGTTTGGGATAGTGTGGGGGTAGTCCCAGCTGGGAAGAGGGGACTGTAGAAGGACTGTGGGGCACCCAGGGAAGGAGTGGAGGGGGTACCCTGTTACACCCCACTTCCCAAGACCAGGCTGCTCTGGGATGCTTCACAAGGCTGCGAGCTGCAGGTTCTGGAGTGTAGCTGCCACCAGTGCCAGGGATGAGCACAGAGAGGTCTTAGATGTGGCAGGACAAGGGGGCCATTGTGCCAAGCAGCCCAAAGCAGGGAGGCAGGGGCCAGTCCTTCTGCGGGTACCTGCGGGGGCTCGTAGGGCACCATCACGCTCTGCCGCCCCGTCACCGGGTCATCCACGTACTGGGACAGGTTGTTGCCTTCCACTCGGATGAGGTGGCTGGCAGGGGCTGACTGGCCTGCAAGGCAAACCTGCAGTTAGAGCCACGGGGGGGCTGTGACACCAGGGACAGCGGCCCCCAGGCCGTGGGGCAGCTCGGAGCCCTCACCGTCATTGAAGTCGCGGCCGAGCTCGTGGTTGGGGCAGCGTTTCACCACCTCGGTGACGTGCTCGGCCTTCTTGTAGACGGGCATGGCCCGGATGATGGTGCCCGGGGGCGGTGAGGTGGACACCTTGATCTGGATGGGGCATGTCTTGGCAATCTGACAGTAGAGCTTCTTCAGCAGTGGGGAGTACTGGAAAACAGGAGACATCCCTCAGGTGAGCATCTCTGCTGGGGTGGAGGGTGAACCCCCATCCAACCTCGACTTCCTCTGCTGCTCTGGTGTAAAGGCAGGGCTTCTTTCTCTTCCCTTTCCCCTGGAAATGTTGAAATCTGACAATTTCACCCTATGTGGTACCTGCTTTCCATGTAAAGCAGATACAGCCACCTCTTGGGGCAGGCAAGGGTTTCCCAGATGGGCAAAGGCTCTGGCAGAGCAGGGCACCGCTGCACTGAGACAGAATCTCACTTAAAATCAGCAAAACCGTCATTCGTGCATCATATTCCTGAGTCTGTTCTCACACACAGAGCACTGAGGGCACTGACACACCACAGCCTGAGGAAATCATGCTTGGTGCCATTAGCAGTGTCACAGCTGATTAGGCAGGACTGGGAGTTTAGTCCTTACACAGATGGGTTTGTCCTGATCCTGACTCAATCCTTTGCTGCAGCAGTGGTTCATGGAGGGGACAGGGTAGGGACACGATGGGGACCACTGCCCGGGCTGGCTGTGGGTGGAGGATGCTCTGTGGCAGCTGGAGGCAGTGCCAGCAGTCACTCCTGAGTAGAAATGGTGTGTGGCCACCAAATTCCTCCCCGTGAGGGCACAGCAAGTTTTGCTTGGTGGCAAACTTGTCTCACAAGACCCTCAGCCCCTGTGCCTCGCCAGAGCAGAGCTGGGGAAGGAGAGCCTGTCCTTCACCTTCCAGGAACTGCCCAGGTGTGAGGATGTGCAATTCCCTTCCACCTCAGCCGTGCCATGCTGTTTTCCATCTCGCAAGGAATGTGTTTGCTATACACCAGCCCACCCCTGTGCTCGGAGCAGCCCGTCCCTGCATGGCAGGGCATGTTCCTGCTCCAGGTATTTTATCTCATCCCCACAACACAGCGCCCGGTGCCAAAAAAATACCACCGTGCAGAGCGTTTGTGGGGATGTTAAAGCTTGTCCTGAGCCATCCAAATACAGCTGTGCCAAGGGGAGGCTCTGCTCTCCCCATGTTGGGCAGTTCCTGAGCTGGGGCTGCCCAAAACGGGCTTGGCACAGGGCTGGAGGTGTTCAGGGGCTGACAGTGATGGCTCAGTCCCCACTTTTCCTGGCTATGAGCATGTCCCAGTGCAGCTGTGACCAGGCAGGAAGGATTTGTGTCTCCCAGTCCCGCTGCCCTGGCTGCAGGAGTAGATCCACCCATGGCTGAGCTCCCACCACCAGGACTGGGACAGGGCAAACAACAGAAACCATTGCCAGGTGGTCTCTGTGGAAGTTCTGGGAAGACATAAAGGGCAGAGGATCCACCAAGGCAAACAGCAGCAGCTCCTGCAGCTCCTCCAGTACTGCACTGGTGGTGGCCAGCTGCAGGTGCCAGTTCCTGGAGGCTCCATGGGGTGTCCTGGGTGTCCCAAGATCACAACCTGCTCAGTGCAGGGGGGAGCAGGAAGATGCTGTGGTCACTGGAGGGTGGTGACTGCGAGGTGTAACATGCATTTGAACCCGACAACAAGAATTATTCCTTATTTTTGTAGGCACTTGGACTCTCCCAACAAGAGAGGACGCTTGGAAACCCCTACTGCAATCCCAAATTTTGCACTCATACCCGATGATGCTGACTACACCTCAACTCCATGGCCAGGTTAGCTTCCAGGGTGTGATCCTGCATCCCCAGCAGGGATTCTCAGGGATCAGGCCTGAGCTGGAAGCGTGGGCTCCACTCACAGTGTGGTGACTCTGCTCTGCCTGGCTGGAAACTCCCATGTGGCTACAGCCCCTGGGACCCACTCACCCACCACGATGGGGTTTAACACCCTCGTTTAGAAGAGCCACCGTGGCTAAACAAGGGTTATTTGGAGGGGGCTCTTCCTTGCCAGGTGTTAAAATACTGACAACTCCTGTCAAAGGATCTTTTCATGTAGACATTCCCGGGCAGCCCTCGACATGCCTGGGAACTGTAACTGCTCTGGAAGAGCAGAGGTGCATTATGGCAAGTTCTTTGGTAACAAATTCTCTCATTATACCATGTTATGACATGGATAAATCTCTGTTAAATAGCAGAGTGATGCCCCGCAGGGGGAAGGCGGCCGCTCCGTGCAGACTTGCCTCTGTTGATAACCTTATCGTGTCCCAACAGCTCCGGGATCGCCTTCAAAGGTCCCTCCACAATAACAAACTATTCTTTTAAGGAACTCCCTGCTGGTAATTCTGGGCAAGAAAAGTCCAGGCTGTGCCCAGGGCGGCCGTGCTCCCGATTGCTCTCCCTGTGGAGTCATCCTGTGCCACATCTACAGCCACAGCCAGGGCTGAGAGGTCCCACAGACCCAGGCTGCTCGTGGCCACCAGGACATCCAGCCTTGTGGTTTTGGGATCCAGGAGGTTCTGCATCCCCAGCTTGGCAATGCACTTTCTGTAGGGGACAGCAAAACCTGCACTGTGCAGAGTGTCCCTGGGCAGACACCTCTCTCCTCCATTATCTGTATTTGATAATTATCAGCCCCATGCACATCTCTGCTGGGCTGTGCTGCATCACCTGAGGTCCTGGCACCTCCCAGCACAGCCATACCCTGCCCAGCACCCTGCAAGGACCACAGGCACCATGTGCTCCTCAAGTGTGACATGAGGCAGCGGCAGAGCAGAACCCAGGTATCAAAATGCTGGGATTTAATCTCAGATGGGCACTGCTGTTCAGCTCTCTGTGTGCCATGGCTGTGTTCCTGCCACCTGCACGGGGGGAACCTCAGTCTGTTCACCCACATCCTTCCCTTTCTGCAGTGTTTAGACAAACTGACCTCTCAGGACTGGCCACATGTGGCAGCTGGGTCACAGCCAAAGCTCAGGTCACTTGAGCTGTGGCCAGCTTGCTTCCAGGATTAGGAACAACATTTTGGGGCACCTGAACCCCTTCATGGCAGCTCCAGACCTCAGCTCCAGGATTCCTTTCCCACCTAGAAAGAAGCCAGGGTATGTTCTGCCCTGGGCATCTCCTGTTTGTGTCTCCACACCCTGCTCTGCCCTGGGGACCACCAGTGCCTGTCCCCACGGTTACATTAGGACTCAGGTCATCTGTCTGTTATTGAGTGCTACCATGTGTTTGAGGAACATAAATGGTTTCTGTGGCTTGTAGATGCTGTGTTGCTTGAACCAGCACAGGGCAGCAAGAGCACTGACAGTGTTCCCTGGAGCCCATGGAAACAGACAGAACCTCTGTTCCTTTGGGATTTCCTGCAGCTTCCAGGGTTGCCCTCAACTTCTGGGCTGATACTGCGACGCCAACTCTGTCTCTGTCCCTTCCCTGCTACTGCTGTCTGTCCAGAGTACCAAGAATAAGCCAAAAGAATGGAAAAGCCGAATTATTTAACTCCTAGCAGGCTATCAGCTCTAAGATCTGGCTCCCCAAGAGCTTGGTACCACAAAGGGCCTTTGGATGTGTTTGAAATGCAGCTGCTTTTTGGGTGAGATGATGCACGCTGCACCACTGCCAGATGGAACAGGACATTAACCAGTCACCCCATGGTGCCAGCGGCCACTGTGAGGCTTCACCGTGGTTATCCTGGTTATCCTGGTGCTGCTGCCCCAAGGAAATGTTCTGGACACCACAAGATTCCACTGAGTGAATGCCCTCAATGGCTCGTGGATGCAGGGTTGATGTGGAGCCTCAGCATCCATCACTGCCCACCCTGAGCGAGGACCAGGAGATGGCTCCAGAGGCCACCACCACTCAGCCCCAGGGCCAGCTCCCCACGCAGGAAATGAGCAGGGAGAGGTGGTTTTCCCCATGGATGCTGACAGCCTCACACAAAAAACAACCTGAATCCTCTGCTGGAAAGGCTTCCTGGCGAAGTCCATCTCGCCCGGCCGTCCCTGGGCAGCAGAACCGCTAGGAGGATGTGTCCCAACAGATTTGGAGCTGATAAAATCTTATTTATCTTCAACTGTTGACACCTAGGCGTCTAGACTTGCCTGTTGGGGAAGGCGCAGCCAAGGCCTCCTTTTCCTCTAGAAGGAAATGATTTGCTCAACAATTGCTTTTTCCACAAATCCTCCCCACCCTCCTCCCTACCAGCCACCTCCTCCTCTTCTCCTACATTCCAGGCTTCTCATTAGCTTTAGCCAAGACGTGTCCAGGACTGCAGTCAATGGATCCCCAATAAAGCCACTGGCCTGGCAAGGGAGAGAGAAGAAAAGCGCTGCCTCCGGCTGCTAATTTCCTTGTGCTCCCCGGCAAGCAGCTGCGGAGCTGCATCCTGGGACAGGTTGGGGCAGATCGCAGGCGAGAGGTGATAATAACGTGTCTGTCATCTTCCCCAGACATGTAGCATCTTGCAAACCGCAAATACCGTTAACCGCCTCGGACGAATCTGTTACGGCACATCCTGGAAGACGTGCCGGCGGCACAGCTAATTTTTTTTTTTTTCTTTTTTTCTCTCTGTCTAATTTTTTTTTAATAACTATTTTTTTAATCACCGGCCTGTAAACTCCTCACTGAGCTGGAAATTCCTCCCCAAGCTACTTTGTTGCTCATTTACTACCAGCCAGGTTTGGGTAGGACTGGTGTCTGAGAGGAGAGGGGAGTGTCCAGCGTGGCCTGAGGTACCTGTCCAGCACACAGGTGGGCTGGACAGGGGGATATTGCCCTGGGGATGGCTGTAGGAGGTACCCTGGTGCCCTGTGTGCATCACAGTGGTGATGGATTGGGGTGGTAGCCATAAGAGATGTCCCAAAACCCATCTCCCCATGTCTCCATTCCCTGTGCCTCAATAAGGATGGGTTAGGATCCCCAACACTGTTCCTCCAGTCCCTGCACCACAGCAGTGATGGGTTGGGGTGATGGCCATAAGGGACGCCCCCGTGGTCCCAGTACCATGGCAGTAATGCCTTGGGGTGACACCAAACCCCCACCAGTTGTGCCCAGGACAGGGGGTCTCAGCAGAGCCCCCTGATCACCCCAGCCATCACCAGCTGCAGGGGACCTCTGTCCCCCACAG